AATTTTTTAGAGTCCCTCAGGATATATTTTTTTTAAACTTAAAATTTAAATGGAATGAGATAATTATATAAAAATATTCTCTAATATGTAAAAATAAATATTTTAAATCATTAATACAACTAATTATTGTAACTATTTATGAATGTACTGTACATTAGAAATTAGTTTATATGTATCACAATTATCCAAAATTTCAGTTTATCTATATACAGTTGAAATTACATTAGTACTTAAATGAAATTTAATTTTAAAAAAATTAAATTTTAATATTGAAAGATAAACAAGCCCAGCTAAATAAGTTTCTACTGTATTTTTAAAATAAATTATATGAATTTAAAATAGAAAATAATAACAAAGTTAAATTATTAAACTAAGTTATGTTAAATTATTTCTTACCAATCACAAACTAGAATTACATGACAGTTATAACTGATGATAAAATAAAATAAATGTAAGTTACTGGATTTTAAGACTATTATGTACATATTTTCTACTCCTTAAATGGATATTCTAATAGATAGTAACCATTAATGGCATGCAATAGCTAACAAAAGTATAAAGTTAATAAAAAAAGCAATTGCAAAATTACATCATAAATTTGATCTTACTACTACTATCCACATAATAATACTATCCATTAAAAAGCTAAAAAATATAAGACAAAATTTTTTTATGATTTTTTCACCCTCTCTAGTTTTCATTTTCTATTATTTATGTTTAAAAATTCTTCCTACATGTCCTATATATATAAATTTTTTAAAACTGACTTTACAGAATACCACCTATTTAGAAAATACACACATTATTTGTATGATCTCTATGTTTAGATAATAAATTTATAAATTAATTCTGAATTTCAGAATAATGTTTCTATCCATATTTTTTAATCTAATTATTACTTAAAATTATCAATCATATATCATATTACTAATTATAAAAGATTATAGAAAACATTTTTATACCATTTTCTCGTAGCACACATTTTAGCACCTAAATGATGTTCTCCTGAATACCTATTACATGGTAATACTTCAAATCCAGATTCTTTATCAAAAATTCGTAAATAACGAAATATCTAAAAAAATAAAATTTTATATTTAAATAAATTTAATATTTCTTTTATAAATAATAAAAGTTCTTTACATTTGTTATTTTTTGGAAAAATATAATCTTAAATTATATTCATGTAAAAAAATTAAATAAATAAAACTTCAGTTTTCTTAACCAGTTTGATCTTATATGAGAAAAATATAAATTAATTTATATAAAAGAGTTATTTACAGTTTATATGTTAGACTATACTAAATTATATAAAAATTTAAATATTAAAAAACTGCTAAAAAGCATTCATACTTCATTAATATAGCAATACAAATAAAAATACAAAATTATAGATATATTTATATTTTTTCACATTAATGTAATGAGAAAAAATATAAATATATTTGTAATCATTTACAATTATTGTTGTTGAATTTTCTTTATAAATAGTAAAATTGATTCTACAAGGTGAGAATTAAATTTTCAACTTGTAGAAGGCTGCAAACATGATTCAATAAGAATAATATTAACCAAATTCTTTTCTTGAAAATACACATAGTGTGATTTAATATAATTTTCATTCATTACTTTCACTATTTATCAAATAATGTGAAACTACATCCACATTAATAACATATAAGGCATAATTTAGTGTCAATGAAATTGTAAACAAACTTGCCCTGCTGCATCTTCCATTTTTAATTTATATGACACCCACTATAGTTTATTGGAATCACCAAGTTGTTTGTTTTGGTGATTCCAACAAATTATAATTGATCTCTTAGTGATATAAAGTACTCTTTACAGTTTTTCCTTTGCAAACATTTATTCTTTATAAAATTCTTATAAATTCATTATTTCATTTTATTCATCTTTACCAGTGATAAGAATTTAGTCTCCCTCCTCATACCATCTACCACTACAACTGTCATCACTCACTAATTGCTATGCCACTACTAAGATTGCCATCACTCACTGATTTCCAAAATTGGGTAAAACATTTATTTCATTCTTTCATATTCTAGAAGTTTTGGATCTTTAGAAGTTTGGTGATGTTTTTGTGACTGGAAATGTGCCATAGGAACTTAACTCTTGTTTATGTCATTTTAGTCTATAGTAAAATTGATTACAAGGTCTGTTCAAAAAATACGCGGACTGACGTCATAAAACAAAATGTACTTTATGTAGAAGTTACATGTCTGGGTCCCCTTCAAAGTACTCTCCTTCCCAATGCACACACTTATCCCAATGGTGTTTCCACTTGTTGAAACAGTCCTGGTACGCTTCTTTTGTAATGTCCTTCAGCGTCTTTATCGCATTTGCCTTAATCTCAAGAATCATCTCAAATCTTGTTTCCCAAACTCAAAAGACTCTTCAAAGGAAGAAGAGAAAGTCACAAGGAGCAAGGTCAGGTAAGTAGGAGGGGTGGGGAAGAAGTGTGATTGAGTGTTTGGCCAAAAACTCAAGAGTTCTGAGGGCTGAATGGACTGGAGCGTTATCGTGATGGAGAAACCAGTCGCCACTCCACATTTCTGGCCTTTTGCAATGGATGGCATCCCTCAGACGTTTCAGAACTTCAATGTAGTAAGTCTGGTTCACTGTGGAGCCTTGGGGAGGTACTCGTAGTGAACAATACCCTTAGCATCAAAGAAAACTGTCATCATCACCTTGACATTGGATAAAACTTGGCAAGCTTGTTTGGGTCTGAGGGACCACTTGAAACATGCCGTATGCTTCATAGTGTGAGAATACAGACGAGAGTCCAGGTCCTCTAATTGTCAGATCTGTTAGACCTGCTCACCTTGTCACTGGATGGCTTAATTTTTCTCAGAACCCAAGTGGTAAGATTCTGTGTGGGGTCTGTGCACAAGCAATGAATACCAGACAAGAAGGACATTAAATATAAAATTGACAATTTAATCATTACAATCAATATTACAACAGAATATAACTGATGCAAAGGAATGACAACATGGGGAATACCTAAGTAGAAATTCTTCTTATTTCTATGTTATATTAAGCTAACCTGAGAGAGAGAGAGTTTACAATAAACTTTTACCTCGTTGTTCATGTTGAAACCTTGTATCTCGTTGATTCTCTTCCTGAGGTGGCAAGTCCGGAGGACAGGATCAGCTGGTGGAGGAGGAGCACTCACTTTGGCAATATTTTGAACGAACTCCCTGAGTGTCTGCAAACTTGCCCTTTTATTCCCAATTATTTAATAATAATAATTTCTAGAAATGAGTTATGGCATTTGAGCAGGTGGTGTGCAAAATTCTAAGATACAAGGTGTGGAGGAAGGAAGCAAAACATCCTCATTTCTGGTTAAAAGTTACATGACATAGCAGTTTTGCAGGATGTTAAAGTTTTATAACCTTTTTAGGTTATATTAACTTTATTCCAAATTTATGTCCTTTTTAAGTGTTTTTAGGTGAAATTAAAGTAATTTATTTATTTAAGTTTATTTAGGGTAAAAATTATATAACTCAATTTTTTAGAGTCCCTCCGGATTATCACAATAGCAACATCACCGTAAGCCGTGCTGAGCATAGCAAATGTTTCAGTTGCAGATTTTTCAAGTTTAACACAAAATTTCACAGTAAGTCGTTGCTCCATCAGGTCAATTCATTCTGAAATCCGACAAACAAAAAAATTGCATTTCACTAAACACCGCATGGAAAACAAATCAAGATATCTAATCAACAAATCAAGATATCTGTAATCAGGAAATGGCTTTATCACCAGACGATCTGTACAAACCTAGCGACATCAAGCAGATTCCCCTGGAACCAACTAGAGCCGCGCAATTCAAACAGTCCGCATATTTTTTGAACAGACCTCATATGTTACACATCATTCTGTTTAACATTACAGATTCCAAGAACCTAATGACAACATTAAGTGAGGACTTGCTGTACAGCAAATGTTAAATAAAAAAATTGTTATATTATTTCAATTTCATAATCACTCTATTTCAAATTGACATTTACATATGAACACAGTCATATTTTTATTTTTTAATAAAAAATAATAACCAAAACTTTAGTAAACTGTTAAATAAGCTATATTCAAATTTTGTGTAATTAATGATTAGAAAAAAGAGTTGAAAACATTTATGCCTTCCAAACTCAACTGTATTATTATTTGCTTTATCAAAATACACGATACAACTAATATTTCTCTGATAGAAATAACACCAATGAAGCAACAGTTCTTTAGGATTTAACTTTATATATATAGTTGAACTCTGTTATAAGGAACACAGTTATAATGAGCAAAACACCATAACAATTTTAATTTACATGTATTTCCATACATTTTCTCACGGTTATAACAAACATACTTCATGAATATACCAAGCAAATTTTTGATATCTATGCAAACATATGAACATCCTTAATTGTTCGAGTAGTAAGAAAGCAGTGCCAAATTCTTGAAGAGAGTAAACTAAAAAGGTTACTTAGTTTTCGGACAACTGGATAATTAGTTTTATGACCTGCATGGATTACAGGCTTATTTATTACTTAACTTTCTTTTTGGAGATCATTCCTCACTTTGCTGACTAGCTTCCAGCCCTGCTCTGCTAATTTATTTAATCATCACTATAATTGTAAAATTACAATATACAGTGAAAACTTGATCTATCATTTTTGGCAAAACTTGGGAAAAAATGAATGAGACAGGAAAACAACTGACACAAAATTTATAATGTCACTGTTTTTAATATATAAGGTCACTTGTTTATCTGGTATGAAATGTGTATTTTCCAGTGATACACCTATATGATGGCTTTCTGTAATACTAAATGATATGGTACTTGCACAAGAACATGAGTTTATTCTACATTTTAAAAAATTGTTAAGAATACTGTAATCTGTTCTATTTTTATTTTTGTAAGAATACTTAATGTATTCATATATCAAAGGCAGCCAATCAGAAAAATTCAATATTATGTAAGAATGCATTACTTATATGGTAAACAGCAGCAGCATAACATGTGCATCTATCTATCTATATCCAGCTTATGGTGTCTGATGTTGCCTTCTGATCTCCAGGAACCCTCTCCATCTCTCTCTCTATCCATACACCATTCCTCTTTAATCCTTTTTTTCACTACATGCTAACTTTACTCCATCAAACCAAGTTTGTCTGGTCTTCCTCTTTTTTTTCTTTTTTGTGGATTGTATTCCATTGACATTTTCAGGATTCTCTTGTCACATATTCTTTTCACATAAGTTGTTTCTTCTTAATTTCTTCCAAAACAGTCTCCTTCAATCCCATTAGTTCTTTGATTCTCTCATTAATTATTCTTTCTCTTTTTGAGATTCTGCACGATCTTCTCAATGCATCCTTTTCAATTGTTGTTACTTCTCTTCTCCAGTAATCTTCCATACCTCCGTCCCATATAACAGAATGCTTTTAACAATAGCATTATAAAAAAAATACGGTCCTTGCTGCTTTTACCAAACAGCAAAATATCACAGTTTTCTGGGATCAGACGTCAAATTACCAAAGCTACAAGATCCAAGCAGGTGGGAAACATCTAGAAAAATTAGAAATTTACTTACAAGGAGCAGATGAACACACCTCATCAATCATAGAAATGCCGATGGGTTATGGAAGTCTTTCTATGATAAATTGACTTAATCTATATAAGCGGCATAGTTAACTATGATGATTTTTACTGGATGTATAATGTTTGGTTATTTGTTATTTATTTTTCTTTATGCATATTAGTTCATTTTTTATATTTATCACAATTTTTTTAAAATGTAAATGTTAATGTAAAATTGTAATAGCATTATATATTCTTTTTTTTTCTTGATCTAGTTATTTCTTCACTCCACCATATTCCATTTAATTTTTTAACTGCTCTCTTACCTTGTGCTAATCTTGTATTAATTTCTAATGTATCTCTTCTTTCTTGATGAATTTGTATTCCAAGATAATTGTAATGTTCACATCCCTCAATCTTTTCTCCTTCTTCCAGTTCCATGTCTGTTTTAGCCCCTCCTATGTATAAATATTTTGTTT